ACAGAGTAGTGAGCAAATGAGATAAATTCAACTGAATAATAATCATGATAAATGTTTTAAATGTTTTCTTTTCTTTTTATTTGTATTTTACTTACTTTTATTAAATATACAACCATACCATTTTCATGAAAGGCGAAGGGGAAAGTCAGGTAGTGATGATCTACAAATGTACGGTCAAGTTTCAGGAAGGGGGCCCCTAACGATACAAAGGCTACCTAGGGATATATACCACCGGCTTCCGAACGAGCATGGTGCCCACGTAACAGCAATAATAATATAAGATAGAGGATTATAGTAGAAAACAGAATGAAATGGAAATCAAACAAGTACAGTGGGTAAAGACAAACTGGCAATCTAACCATCGTGTGTTTCTTTTCGGAACCATGAGTGCACATTTCTCGCGCATTCAGTCGTGACCGATTGCGACACTCAGCCAACCACACAACGGATACTCCTATTGACCAGTTCTATTTTCTCATCTGGTCACCGTGTAAAGATCTGTCACATACCACCCTATCTTGCATGTTCAATGAAAGAACAGACACTATAACTGTATTCCAGGATTTTCATTGCTCAGTTAGTATTCAATTCCTGTGTGGATCTTTCGCAAATCAGTCCACATCTGCTCACGTCATTCTAAGTGCTAATCATCCAGAAAATTCTGTTCTTATCATAAGGAACTGTCCTTGGTGTCCAAAGTCCTGTACGTGTGCTTACCCGTAGCGTATTTCAAAATCAAACTTCATAAGGCTACAAACTAAGAGCATAAGCTTTCGAGCTTCCACAAATCGCAAGAAATGATCCAATCAGATCACAGAGAGGGTCAGAGGGAATTTACGTGTTCGGGGTCACGGATGAGAGGGACAAGACAATGTGAAACAATAGAGCAATCGCACTGTATTTATCCATAGATGACAGCTTGTCCTCTATCTCAAGGAGATCATTTTTAGCGGAGAGTACTCAAGGACGGTGTGTTCAACAGGCTGGTCACCAATAAGCAACACTCATTGTCAAACACCACCTGCGCTCATTCGCTGTTGCCGAGAAACATGAGCGCTGTCTCAAAGTGTCTTCAATACAAACTAGACGCTGCGAGCTGAATAATGTATACTCATCCAAACAAAGAAGTCCATTGTCGAAGCTGCCTTAACTTTCAACAAAGTTAATCTGGTTTCTTTGTGATTTGCTCTCAAGCAGCATCCAGAATTCACAAAACTATGGTCTCGTTCTACTCCACAACCAGTGGCGAATGTGTATGCGAGCATTTTTTTCTCTTGGAGCGAAGTGAGCGTACAGAGATACCCCCAAACCATTGAATTAACTGACCAGAATGTTTTCATCGAAAAGAATAATGTCATTCATATTCCTAGGCATAATTTACTCTCCTTCGGTCGTTAGTTGGTAGCTCGTTCCTCGTAGAGTTCGTTAATCTAATCTGTCCAGTAGTACTTTAAAATGAACTCCGTATTCTAGTCTCACTAATTAGAAGCTTGCTATTGATCAGAACGGTGGCGTAGGCTAAAAGACTATATCAAATAGTATGTTAGCTCAACAAGAACGAAACAGCTGTCCAGTACGGTATCTTGGTGATCAAACAGAATTGAACAGCAAGAAGACAATGAATATTACGGGGCCATTACATCTGCCAACTGACAATTCCATTCTATAAGTAAAGTAATACTTTTGATGTGGTGGAAGGGCGAAATTAGAGAAAAAATGTCATGCCACTTCTGGTCATGAGCATATATTCGGGACAACATCTGATCCCCACTATTGTGACGAGTGTGCCATCACTTTCGGCAGTTTGACGTGGTTAGTTTTTAAATTCAGCCTATTTTGTAGTGGGCTAGTGTTCACTTGAGGTCGATCACTGTGTGTGTGCGTGTGTTGTTCTGTTAGGGTGGACCGTGGTTCAGCTCAGTTCGAAAAACCGTTAACCTTACCCTTTCGCTCGGCATTTTTTGTTTGCCCGTATGGATAAGACGGTAGAGGGAAAAGTGCTGGAACTTGTGAGAGCAAAGATTGAAAATCCTGATAAATTGTTTGCGAGGAAATTGAGTAGACGTATGAATGCCACTTAGTCATCACACCTATTGTCCTTTAACCATCAATTCGACGGATCCCGGTTAGTGCACATAACGTGATCTATGTGTCTTAGTTGGAATGTTCATACCTCAATACAGTTTGCCTACCTTACACTCCGGTCCACTACCTGCCTGGTCAAACCGCACGTCGATGGCATGCGTAACACATGCCTAAACCATTTTTTTCTGTGGAGGTAGAGCAATTGCTGTAGTGCGTGTTTTCAGAGCGATAAGGATTACTGATCGTGCAAGTGATTTAAAAACGCTCCTCCCTTGAAAATTTTCATTCTGGTTACATCAAGCACCGCTGTTACATTATTGACGGAACTCCACCATACTCTTCGCGATAATTAAAGAACCGAATGGGAACGGATCTTCCCAAACGACCATTAGCATCTCTTCCGTCGGCCTTCTCTTTAATGGACTTCCTGATCCAGTCAAGTAGTTGATCATTTAACCCATCTTACGAAATGCAAATTCTAGCTAGCCTAGCTTATGCAGTACATTACAGAAGGGATCATTATCTCCCTCATTCTCAATCAGATCAGTGATCTCCAGCTGTTCTACTAATGTATTTCACGTAAAACCCCAACCTTTTTTCATGGTCGTAGTATAAGGCCCTCACGTCACACAACAACTGTATTATTAATATTCCTAGTCCTCTCTAACTTATATATAGTTAAAGTTTAGTCTTAGGGACTTTAGTTGATTGTTTGTATAACAATCTCGTTGGGAGCAAATGTCTAATAAAAACGCATGTGGTTCCGAACATTTTGCCCTTGCCCATCAAAAAGTGTACGGTAAGACATAAAAAAATGTTTTTATTCCTGTTACCTACTATTTTCCAATTTATTTGATTAACCTTCTTTACACTGGGTTCTGTATTCTAATCCACCCACCCATCTCCAGTTTTTGTTATTATTGTTTTGGCGTTGGCACCACGCTTGTCCACAAGCCGGCG